GGATATTTTGAACGATTAAATGCGATTTTTAATCCTTTAATTGCAACGGCAAAATTCAACGAATTTGGAGATGTTTCTAATTTGGAAAATATGGGAAAGTTTTCTTACTTGTTGCAATCTTATATTAAAAACAGATGAGGTAAGTTTTAAAATGAATTGAACATTTGAATTATAGCCACGACATTCTTTTTATTTTTGTTCTGATAATATTTAAAGAGTAATGCATAAAAATATTTTAATTATTATTTACAAAAAAAGATAATTTTGAAAGAAGCACTTAATATTTTTTTCATTTATGGTCACAAATATATTATACGCCGCATATTATACGCATATAGATAAAAATGTTCCATTTAGAAAGGATTATTTTCTTCTTTAGATTCGATATAAGCAGAACGTCTAAGCGATAATCCCGCAATTAACGGTAGCAGCAATAACGTAATAATTAACATGCAAATGTCGGTCATAAAGATCGCCGGAAATCACGGCTACAATTGGCTGTCCCTAATATTAGAAACGACATGTCGCGACCTTAGTCTTCCTATCTACCTACACAACTGTCGATTCCATTACGTGTCACATTACGAACGCGTAGGTGTAGGGCCCCGTTAACGAAGGGGGCCTCTGCACGTGCGTGTCGCCCAGCGCGATTAACGAATGAGAGACGGAGAGGTGTTGCGCTCGTTGCGTTCGTTTCTCGAGGTCCAAGCAATTGCGAATCGCTTCCCTCCCGCCAATCATCAGGTACGTTATTGCACTTGAATCCCATTATAGACTAAATTTTCTCGCACCGCAACGAAATTGATCGTCACCATTCGAAGGGGGGAATCGCTATACCTCGCCAACGAATCTTGACACCAGATAAAAATGCTAGCGTGTATTAGCATATATATATATATATAGTTGTATTTGAGCTTTTAGTTACATTAATTATCACTAGTTATGTTAATTATTACTAGTTGCGAATAATTACTGACGCACAACATTTAATTTGTCGTCGGTTAGCGATTCATTTTTTTTTCACAAATTTTTAATTGTTTTTACTTTAAATTCTTTTTCTTGAAATTACTAAAAGATATAGCTATTTATATATTATTATATCATATATTTTATTACATACATTATTTGTAATATTTAAGCTCTATTATTACTTAGCTTATAGAATAGTATGCTATATAGTTTATAATATATACGTATATAAAATAAAATTAATAACATGTACAATTTATAATTTATATAATATATAAATTATATATAATAATATTTTATAGATTATATTATGTTCTTGAAAAAAGTAGAATATATGTTTTTGTATGTATGTATTTCTGTTTTCATGTTTTCAAGGCACACAGGGGATGTTCTCAAG